CATACGTGTCCAGTTTTTTCCCTACATTTTTTTCGTTTCGTTCCTTTCATTCGAAAATAACCGACACCATGATAAAATGCCGGCATATATCGTTGCTCTCACATTCATCTTATTCTTAAAATATGACAACGGCATTTATTAGATATATTTTTTGTGCACTGCTGCTACGTCTCAGTTTGCTTTGTGTGACCTGACTGCTTACGCATCTATTCTATCTATGTATAATGTGTAGGTACCTACATGGTAAATACCTATAAAGTCTTTAGTATTAGTTATTATCAATAAATTGAATGAATTTTAACAAATAGGTTCAATGAAAATTAATATTTTCGAAGCATTACCTGGGTTTTGTTTGTGAGAGTTTCATTGCGTCAATTCCTATCTACCAATATATAAAAAATTACTTTGGTACAATAATCCATCCACTTGTCTAACGTAATGTAACCTTACCTAACCTTACTCTATCAGTAGCATGTAAACACAGAGAACTTCACTGTAAATACTTCACGGAAATTTCATTGTCTTTAAAAATTACATTACAGCTTTTTTTATTAATTGATTTTTACGTTAATTTTTTATTGTTTACCTGTCCTAACCAAAAACAGATACTTCTACAATGTGAAAAATTTATATCATAAATAGAACATTTTACAAATAAGGGAAGCAAATTTTCATCAGTAAAACAATTTAAGTATGTGTAAAATAGCTACATGAAACAAGGATTAATTGGTGCAATTAAACTTCATTAGGCCACTTGATATTTAATCAGTAGGGTTTATGCTACAAATGATGCATATATAGGTTTTTATTCACATTACAATACAAGATATTTTTTGTTAACTTAAATACTTATAGTAGAACCTCGATAAGATAAAGACCAAGGGAAACGTAAAATAATTTGAGTTATTGAATTTTTTATTTACTAAGGGTTTAAGTTTAAGCTTTAAAATTATGGATTTCCAGTGACTTAGCAAACTCTTCAGCTTTTCATTTAGTATAGGTCCACTAACACTAATGTTTTTACATATTTCTACACTGTCTAAACCATGTAAACAAGAATTTTTCTAAATTCGAAATTCAGCAATTCTTCGTTTTTTACATAAAAGACTTTCTCCCGATTCAAACCACTTTTCACTGCTTACTGAGGTGCGATGCCCAATTTATTCGTTTAAGTTATAGAGGGTTTTTATTTTAAGTAATAAAGGTTTTGGACTCCAAGGAGAAGGGAACACAAAATTTTATGAGTTTACAGAGGTTATTGTGTTATCGAGGTTTAAGTTATCAAGATTCTACTGTATTATGTTAATTTGTACCTAACTGTTTTTATGATCCTTCAAGTGTCATTTTAATTTTGAATTAAATTTTGATTAGAGTTGTGACAAATAGGGACCCGGAGTTTTGACTGAATACCCGAGTACCAAATATATGACTAATTCTGTATTAGTACTTAATAATTTCTAATAATTTGTCTTGCACCCTAGATCTTCCGCATTCTTTGAAATATTAGGAGGTCGATTGATTGCAACTTCAGCTGAAAACTTTTAAGTCTTATAAGACGATAAATTTTTATTTTTAATTTGATGGGTAAAGCACAACCATAATATTTCAAACCCTGATTAAAAGTAACCAATGGATTATTAGTTTACTTTACTTCTTGAATTGATTCTTCTAAATNCCCCACTACTCGGTCACGTAGTCGAGTTCGTAGTGGGGATCGCTTGAGCCGTGAGCGTGCTTCAATGCAACGTTCGTTACAGGCAACTCCGGCATGTATAGTGTAAAATTTTAATTCATAGTGTACAAATAATACCATTAAACCAATTCCTTAAACCCTATCCCGGTATGTTTGTGTGTTTGAAGAAGTTTCACTTCAGTAGCGCGTTGTATTTTTTTTTATTCTCTTTTGTGACTTACTGTAAATATACGTCCGATCAATTTTGATTTGTTTTGCGTTTTGGTTTTGTTGAGCAACGTAAAAGGGTCATAAATAATTTTTCCGTTTCGTGATTAAGAGTAGTGTGACGTGGGGTTCCTGTAGCTTTCAGCTGAGCCGGAGAGTCGGATTCATTTTACCACCCTCGAGGGGATGGAATCTATTCCATCCGAAGCGTCCCGTCGAGCCGAAACTTCTTTGATTAAATTTAAACTTTAACCCCGTTGTTATCATTTACATGTAAATCTCATTTAAGCATTTAGCCAATTATGACGAGGCGACTTCGGGTTGAAGATCGAAGGGTGAGGGGTATTCAACGCATACCCTCGCTAATTACTTTTAATTAAATTAATTAAAGATAATTCCACGACTCGGGCGTTGTTTACTTGAATCTTTTCATGGATGAGTAAAAATAAGGATAAATGAGGTTTTAATGACTAAAAAGTTGTGTGTAAGCCTGTAAGCGTGTAAGTGCTAGTAAACACCATAGACTAAGGGGGAATTGAGAACCAAATATAGGTTATATTCTATTACATGTAATCATCAAAGGGCCGTATCATCTTTCGATAAATACGACGTGGTATAGGAAAATTCGTACAAATGCTTTTAACCATATTTTCATATAAATAATAAATCAATATAGGTCTGCAGAAGAACTTGATAGTGTAAGGGTCAAAATCACTAATCTATTACCTTGAATCAAACTGGTGTTTTATACTTATTCAAATTTTCCATTAATTTTAATTATTTCGTGATTATTCAATATTATTTAGTGTTTTGTCGTTGAAATTAACCTTTGAAGGTAATTCACAAGTATCTAAGGAATGTAAAATTTAGTTCTTTTTCCGAATCCAGGGTTAACAAATGGAATTTCTTCAACTGATCTTGAAAATGAAGGTCACGGTCAAATTGTAGGTCACTTTTTGATATCGTCCTCCAAACCCAATAACTTTTGTAGAGGTTGTTTTTTGGATTGGTGCTTCCCCTGATGAGACATTCAAGTTGGCTGTGGGGAAGCCACTACACTTACATATAATGGTATCTACATACGTTTAAGTACTAATAGATTTATAGCTCTATTTTAATAAATAAATTGTCAGACGTTCAGTGAGACTGATAAAAACATAGAAAAAGTATTAATTTTAGTCGTAATAGGAGCCACCTTGTAGAGAAAAACTGTCCTCTGTTTTTAAAGTTTTAGAATTGAAGGTTAATCTGTCTGGTATAAATTCAAATGTCAAAAATTGTTTTAAATATTCAATTGCAATTTTGAAAAAGCATTTATTAATGTCTACATATACATGTACGAATGTATACTTAAAACAGCAATAGCAAATGGAATTAGAAATTTTGTAACGATCGTACACTCATGCAGTAAAAATGACGCCAACTTTTTGTTTTGCTAACTTTTTTACCTCGAGCATGTTTTGATGCATTCGTCTTGTTCCATTTTTAACGGAGAAAGAGATTTATTGCGACGTGATTCTTCATCTGTACGCCCCGTTTTGTTCACGTCTACTTTTGTCGCAATCAGTTAATCGAAAATGAAGTGAAATAAAACTTGAAACATCTTAAGGCGAAATATGCAGTCCTTTGTTGTAAATTTCATTTCGTCCAATTGCTTTCCACGCATTATATGGACGCTTCATTTCATTGTAATGATTTGTAAACACATCAATTTTAACGCAATTTTAACAACTATTAGTAACGAATACTTACAGTATCTAAGAAGTCAGATAACTCAGGATGGAAGGAACAGTAGAGATATAAAATAGAGGATGGCGCAGGGCCGAGACACCTTCAATAAAAGAAGTCACTTCTATGTTCTGGAGCACATAGCACAGAGTGGAGATGCATGTAGTTTTGTTTTTCGTAAATGATACAATGATTGTTACATAAATTGCATTATGTACGTTAGACAATTAAAAATACAATTACCAACGAGGGTTTCCTCTCATCAAGGTTAAAGTATTTGTTGGTCATTAACATAAATAAAAATAAGTAGGCGCAGTAGATACATTTCTGTTTGCCAAACACCTAGATAATTTACTTGAGTAGCCTAATAAATGAATTCGAACTTTTGCGCGGTGCAACGAAACAAATAATAAATCGTTGCAATCGTGCAAAAATGCGTAGGATTTCTGCATTCTAGCGATGATTGATATCTCAACAAACAGCGAAACTTATATTAGTAACTGGTAAAAGAGTATTTCACCAGCTTGGAACTTGCCCAATTTCTGTCAGTAATGACAACTAGTGATCATTTACGACAGTGCTTAAGCCACTTGTGTGGTCTTGAGTTATTAGTTTGAATTTGCCAAAATCAAATCGTTTTCACTTTGCCAATTTTATTTTATTCCGATTTAATTATTTTAAAATCTTCGGTTATTAATCGGTGTCATATTCCCAAGTTGCTTGAATATATTTTTTCGTTGTTTCTCAAACATTATTTTTTGTTGCTTTGTTCAAAACTATACGTGGGTATATGCGACTGAAATTAATTAGGCATTCCAAAATTTATTATTCGGCGAGTCTAGTTTCAAAGACACAGGTCTTCTTGGTATGTCTGCAATTCATTTTCATAATCGCCCCAGTCAAAATTCGTTGTTCCAATTTATAAAAATGTTAAATAAGAAATAGTCCCGTGTCCATTTGAACTGATCGGAAGGAGTGGCTTCCTCATTAGCAAATGGGCTTTCATGTTTCTGAATTCCCGGCTAACAAGATGCAAGTGTAACATCCCGCGGACACGTGTGTACAAACTGTACACATGAAGCGTGGTATCCGAATGATGAACTGTCTCATTTTACATGTGTCATTCATATTATGTCGCCCTTTAGTTAAAAGTTGGCCAATCGCCACTGAGGCGCCCGTCTATTTACTCATTTTTGCAAATATGGCCTCATCGTCTTAGTATCCTTCCAACTCTGACACTTTTAATAACTGCAAAGGTCACTCATTATAACGCTCCAAATCTATCTGACAATTCTACCATGTTTATAAAGTACTTACACATCTTCTATCGCCTAATAATGAACTAATTTAACGTTTCTCTCTTTTGTTTCAGTGTGACCGGTGACCAAATGTTTATCCCGTCATCGTAGATTTGGAAGGAATTTGTTCTTCAGTTTAAAATTCGTCCCTTAGGTGTAAGTGTTGCGATGTTTAATAGACTACTGTGAAAGTGTGGTGATTTCACGATGAAGCTCTAAAGTGATTTGTGTATGTGGTTGGTTTAGTGTTTTAAGGTCTACAATAGTTACACTGTTCAATTTTCTGTGATCTCAGCGCAGTATGAGCTCTTACTTTGCTAATTCGTACATGCCAGATATGCGAAACGGTGGCGTTGTTTCGGCCGAGCATCCTCATCAACACCAACACTATGGGGCGGCCGTTCAGGTGCCTCAAGGTGGAGGTGCCGTGCAAACTGACCCGAACTCTTGCGGTGGCGACCCGTCAGTTGTGGGACTGCGGCAGGGTATCCCTCCCCATCATTATGGGGGACCACCAACGGGTGGCCAACCTCCCCAAGGTATGCCATACCCCAGGTTTCCCCCGTACGATCGTATGGACATGAGAACTGCCGCTTATTACGGCGGCCAACAACCTCAGATGGACAGTGGTCAGGGATACCGGCCGGACAGTCCCAGTAACATGCACATGGGCACGACGGGAGCACCCAATGGACACCAAACGCCTGTCGTTTATGCCAGTTGTAAGCTCCAAGCGGCTGCTGTGACTCAGGGGGGTGTGCTAGGACCAACAGGTAGCCCACCTCTCGATAGTACTCAGGGAATGCCCAATCATCATATGGGTCATCACATGCAAGAGCAACACCCGCAACATCACCAGGCCCAAGCACACCACCCGCAACAACAGCATATGATGTATCCAGGACAAACACCAGCAAATATGCATCAGCAAGGGACGCCCCATCAAACTCCCATGCAACAACAGCAACAGCAACCCCAACAGACGACGAACAATCCCTCGACGTTGCCAAGTCCACTTTACCCATGGATGAGGAGTCAGTTTGGTGAGTATATTACAATATTATTAAGGCTTTCATCGGTAGTTGCTATATGAAAAACAAGAATCCACTTACAAGTTCGCTTAAACTATACAATTTGATACTGACGGCTAGTCTAAAGGAAATTTTATAAAGCTTTCAGTAAAATTCAGTTGAAATACTTACTCCTTATACATTTGTAACTAATTTGCGTATAAACATGTTACATTGTATTCATTAAGTCCATATGGTGGATATGGAATTAAATATGGGTTGGATTTTTGATTGAAAAACGAGTTGAGTGTCAATATTTCGCGAATATCAACATCAATATGGTCATGGAAATTTCATGGTGTTTTACTTGCACTTCATTAAATACTTGTAGAATCAAGTAAGTTATATTAATGTCTAGAGTCTTAATATATATATTATTATATGGATTTACGAATCTAACAATAAAATAAAACTAAATCAAATATTAGAGGTTGTTGCCGTTGTTGCTGCTACAAAATCATAAAAAATAAGTGGATAGAAGAAAAATTAGCGAGTTTAAGATTAAAAAAATTGAATTACTGTTCGCACTTGTCTATTCTAAAAGGTGATCATAATAAATATAAAAATTTTGACAGTTACCATTCTTTCTATAATTTTAAGCACCAAATGGTTCAATAATGTTTGTGGCCTTTACACTTCGGTTAATTTTTGTAATCAAATCAAACAGTAGGCCAGCGATTGTTGATAGTACTCTACGGGCAAATCGATGACGTCTACAATGTAAATGTTTTCTGGCAGCACAATAAAATAAACAATTTGATGTTCAACGCTGTGTCTGTTTTATATGTTTACCTATCTTGGCATATTTTGATTCAGAAGCTTAAAGGTGCAAAGACCTCTGCGTATTCCGTAAACACGCACCCAGAATCACCTGAACTTATAAGTTTATATTAATATATACAAGACACGTAATAACTTTTATATTATTTTCTCTATATGAATAAAAATAAAACTTGCCCGAGATAAAAATTTTCAGAGTCTCTGAAAACGAGACTCGAGTCTCCGTCTCTCATCGAGTTTCTCTGGTGTCGCTGAGAGAGACCGTCGAGACACTGTCAAAAAACTGTTTAGCGTCTCTGAACGAGAGACTCGAGTCGCTCATAGAGAGATTCTTATTTCGTATCCAGACTCTGAACGAGAGACTCGAATCTTTGAACGAGAGACTCGAATCTCTCAACGAGAGACTCGAATCTGAACGAGAGACTCGAATCTCTGAACGAGAGCCTCGAATCTCTGAACGAGAGACTCGAATCTTTCAATAAGTGGTGTCTCGATAGACATGGTTAAAATTTTCTAAGTTTAACATATTTCAGAGATCCCAGTCTTTCTACGAGAGACTCCAGTCTCTCAATTTTGCAGTTTTATTCATTCAGTCTCTCTGTGAGAGACTCGAATCTCTGATTTAACAATTTTATCGTTCGAGTCTCTCATATAGACTGTGAGAGATCCATAAAAACACCTAGGCAATAACTGAGAGACCGTGAGAGACGCTGAAAGACTCTGAGAGACTGGAGAGAGACTGAAAATTTTTGTCTAGGGTATCTAGTTCCTTTTGATTATTATTACTTCATCCATCAAAAAAACTATTTAGAAAACAATTTAGAAACTAAATTCCATATTATTTACTCTTTCATGATACGAAAAAAATGTTGAAATTGTCAAATGGTTATTCGAAAATGTCCTCAGCGTAAACTTTTCAATGTATGACAAAAGCTTTTAGTTGTCAACAAGTTTTAACGTAACGAATAGCGTTCAAAATCAATGGAGACAAGTAGAGCGATTACATCTGAAGTAAATCATTTGAAAAGACAAGGACCTTTCAAAAGACTTAGCTTGGGGGCCTTATAGAGTGTCTACGAAACGGAAATCCAGAAGTGCAGTATTTCTTACCGACCTCCCGCAGATGAGATTGAGTTGTCCAAGTCTTATGCAAAATTGGACTGCGTTTACAAAGAGGACATAAATATTCCTGCGAGATGTCACAGGCACAAAATGAACAAGGAAGTTTGCTGATTCTTAAACAGGTATATTCGGAGCATACTTCTTTTCAAAACGATTTCTTTTCGTACCGAAGAATGCATTTATGCAAATTTCACGGTGAATGGGAGCCCCAGCAGCAACTACCTAAATGTTCACGTAATAAATATAGACTTTCAAGATGGATAGCATGGTAATTTTTGAAAAAAGTCGGTTTTTATTCAGAGAAGGAGATTGCAAATACAGTTATTGGAATAATATGAAACTTGGTTTCTTTTAAAAAGTCTTGTAGTAACTATCTTCTTACGAGAAAAATAGAACCATCACTACTAGCTCTTCCGAATTAAGAGAATTCTATTGGTATGATATCTTTTGAGTCATAAAGGATTCGTTAGAGATATTATTGTAGTATACTTCATCTACTTTCTCTAGCGATGTGCCCCTTCCAATGTCTTGGATACGCGCTGGAAAAATCGTAGGTAGGAAGAAAAAACTCATTATACTCTCGACTCTTGTTCATTAAACATACTTTTTCATACAGTACCTGCCAAAAGTTTTAATCAATCATGAATAGTACTGCGAGTCGGAAACAAGCGTTAAAGCCGTTAATATGTCTTCAAATATAAATAAACATCTCGTTGATATTTTCAGTAGTAAACGGTACCAATAATAGCACATTTGAGCAATGCAATTGTAGTAGATAAAATTGTCAATTTTTCCGTGCAGTACTGTACGGATTATACGCTCCTCACCGGTTAAAAATTTTGGCCGAGAGTTATCCCCTTTCTTTTCTGGCCTAGTGCTGTTTTTTTCTACTTTGCACCGGTCAAATTGAAGGTCACATCGCTACAGAAACTAAACGAACTATCGCAGAAATATTAAGGGAAAAGAGGGGTAGAGAGATTAGTTCAAGGCGGCAAAGAGTGGAGGTGCGTGTCTAGCACATCAAATTGACGGTCCTATTATGATAACGATGATGATGATGATTAAGAATTAACAATATTTAAATCATTTTAAGAGGAGAAGTAAAAGTCTTTATTATGAGGTCGTTACCGTTGTATAACCAATCTGTTGCATAATTTCTGTGGACACGACACACGAGAATAGAGTATAATTTAAAAAAGCGGCTAATTTGTATTCAGTATATATTTAACACGCTTACGTATTTTAAATGTTCGACAATTGTTTTTTAATTTGCTGAAAAAGAACCGCCAACTTACATATTCAGCGTCTGACGCTTTTTGAAATTGACGCCACCTTATGTGACTCGAAGTGTTAATCCTTCATTTGCATATTTTTTTGTCATTTTTCTACCCGCTGAATTTTGAGTACCATTTTTAGACATGTCTAATAATAATTGTGATTTATTATGTCTGACGATTATCGTCCTATTACATAATTGTTTGTAAATATTATTATTTATAGGACTAACGAAAATTATTTTATCGTCTCTTGAAAGAAGTATTTAACTTCTGGATAACTTGCACCCCCAAGATGCGAATTTCATAATGAACCCTACAGTTACTTTCCGAAATACAAATTTTAGAACAAGGAGGCCGAAGACGTTTTAATTATAATAATTTTTAATTAGTCGTAGAATTTCAGAACGATTGACTAATAATAAATCGAGGTTTTTACAATTGAAGATCAAATTTTTAATGCGATAGGCACCTAATTCTTATATTTATCTTTTTTCAAAAACAAAACAGAATCTGTTAAACAAATATTTTCCAAAAGCTGCAATTGTTTTTTAATTGCTAATACTTCCACGCCTATATAAAGTAACTGTTCAATAGTGTTTTATTAACGTATACTTTTTGCTAATTGTATTGGTAAATTCGATCGGAGAGGTTTCGTCACTCTCAAAAAGAAATTGTAAATTCGTTCAGTTTGTGTGAAAATAAAAACGTTTTAAGTGCGAAACGTAGATGTCTAGAATATGTTGTTACATACTCTTTCATATGATTATACATATAATAGATTAACTAGGTAACAATCCCTTGCGGTAGGGGTAGATGGCCTCATAATTAGTTGATTTACTTTCTTTGATAAAACTTTATTTTATTGTGGTTTAATATTCCTTTTATTTCAATAACTACATACTTACAGCAATATATAGAAGATACACGGAGAAAATGAAAATTTACTTAAATATTAAAGCGATATTTACAATTTATCCCACTATCCCTTTGCTTCGTAAGCGAAAATAATAAAAGTAACAATTTGGATCCGAAATAAAATCCCAGCAAAAATAAATTTACTAGGTATTTTACTTGATATTACAAATTTAATTGTAATAATTAGGAAACTCGAAATAATCTTTAAAAAAACATGTCAAAATTGAGATTATTACAAGTTCCCTTTAGGGATTATATAATAAATTCTACTATTTCTACGGCAAATTCAGTTATTTAAAATTGTAATTTACCTATGCATTGTCTTAAATTTAATTTTCTCCGTGGAATTTTTTTTTCCAATAAACATATACTAGCAATTTTTCTGGCCGAATTTACATTTTGACCTAATGTGTCGCAAAAATGATCGGCTAAATTTACCAATGCCCCCGCTTAAGTTTATGATAATGTAATAAACACGAATTGGTGTCGTAAATGTGTCACTCACCGGGCGTCATTGTAAAAGGCACCTTACATTTTACAGATGCTTTTTCCGAAAATGTCCAGCTGCTTCGGTTGTGCAAGAAAGTTGGTCAGTTACTACAATATCGTTCCTGTCAAATGCTTTAACTTTGTGCAATCTTACTGTAATTTATTATAGAGTCAAAGCAAATCAACTACCTGCGAAAAATAAGTGTTTAGTTGTTGCAAATTCAGTTCCACGGTGTAAACTATCGACATCAGACTTGCGTACATGGTTTTGTGATTGATAATGGGTGCACTTTTAAGTTTATTTTAAGAACTTATTCGATTATTTCATGCGTAATGTGAGTACTTATGTTGCATATTTAACATTTGGGTCATTAATATGGGCAGTGAAAC